TGTTGCCTTGGTTTCATTCTTTTGGTAAACCTTAACGACAATAGCAATAGCGATCGCGAAAATAACGATAATAAACACCGCGATTATGGCCAACAAAATTGTTTTGATTAGCTCCAACTTGTTCCTGGCCATATTCCCACCTTCGACTTCCGAATAGGCTGTTCCTTCGGCTATAACGACGTCTCGGCAACGTTGTAGAGCAGTGCAGGTTTCGTACGGTCAGTGACAGAGCAGTGTTCGTACTGACGACAACGATTTAACGTGAATTTGTCGGATAGAAGTTAGTAGTTTACGACACACCTTGTGAGCGATATTCTTAAATTGTTGTACTTGATAAGTGCATGATAAGCTTTTTTGCTGCATTCATTGCTCTTGCTCATAATGACGTTCGAAACTTTAACTGTCTTGGTTGCTTGCACTATTTTGTGTACTTTTTATCGGTATTTCGACTGATAATCCGACCGAGTGCTATGATCAGACATCGCAAAACTACTTGCACAATTAACTTTCGCATACGTGATCTTCAGATATTATTGAATTGCAATTGATTCAAGAAGTCTACCGGAATATATGAACAAATCAACGACATCTCCTTTCTGAGATAATGAATTTCAATAAAAAACAAATGGCCAGTTGTTACCGAGGCATGCTCATAAAAGCATTCTCTTCTGTCACCAAGAGAATGTAGGCAAAATTCGGCAAGGATCGAATGCAAAAGCTGTATAACAATCGCACAAAAGTGGAACGGAACCTGAATAGATAGAAGTTCGTTGAATTCGTCACTAATCACTTCTGTGAAGACAATCCGCCTCTCACTTCCTACCACGCTGATTCGGATGATAATTTTAGTTTGGTTCTCCTTAGCATTGTGATTTGGTTGCTCATGAGTTCTTCGATCAGATATGTCGTCATACATCCAGTAAAAAGAACTTTTTCCAATCGATTCATACAGTGCTCTCTGGAACTTATATTTGTGAATTTATGACTGAAGAATTCGTGCTCTACTTTGATATTATTATTTGTTGCTATCACGAGAACTGCAGTCAGAGACAGGAATATGAAATTGAAGATATTTGATAACGATGTACTTTGTTTGATACCCTATCTGAGACATACGAACCAGTCATTTGTTATAGAGAACTAACCGCAAGCATCATAAACATTTCTCCTGGTGCATAATGTCTAATCGATGATCATATTGAGAAACGAATTCGCTGTTAAAAAATTGATACGTGCGAATATTACGTGGCTTCTGTGTTTACCGAACGGCTTAACTCCAAACGCACTCTGCACAAAGCGTTTTGTATTACATTCTTCTTACCGTAACCGTTAATTTAATCTAATTTAATTTAATGCGACGACATATGAAATTTGTTCGTGTTTGCACTGCTTCTTCCACTTACTTTCAATTACATAATCCACTGTATTATACTACAGACGTACTACTGATTCAACTTCTTACTCAAGCTGATTACATTCAGTATTCGCACCATCAGCCAAAAGTGATCGCGTTAAATCACTCGGTGACTTGAATTACGGTCTACGTCCGATCGTGATTCAACATTGCTACTCTATGAAAAAGTAATACCCTTTGCAAGCATGCAAACAACTGGAACGGACAAATTGGAGAAGCCGTTGCATGGTTTTCAAACGTTGTAGCTTATTGAATATTTCAAAGTACTTTAGAATGGTACACATTCATGATGAAGCAGTCTTCGAATCAGATCACTTTATTGCTTGCTATTTTGGGAAATACATCGATTGCAAACAAATATGATTTTGCTGCTGAAATGCGAATGACGGTCTTTGAGCGGGGAGTGGTGCGAGATTTTTGAGTTTTGTGTTTTATGACGATTTGAGTATAAAGAACGATATTTACATTGAGAAAATTTTTAAAAATAGAAAAGTGACAAAGAAATCTGATTGGTAGACAATCACACAGTTCACTGCATTTGATAAAGCAAACGTTCAAAGTAGGACTGTAGATGGTATAAATGACATAAAACACATTTGCGTCTTGATGAGAATTGAGAATTCATGCTCTTTTTGATATTCACTGTCGAACAGATGATATGAGATATGTCGTGAGATGGCAAGTGATCATAATCCATGAAAACTGTCATTGATGAGAACAAAACTCTCTCGAATGATGAGAGTAAAATTTCTCGCAGGCACTAGAGCTTTTCGATCATCATGTTAGTAAAATCGAAAAGTATTCGTATATTGAGTCCTAAATGAGAAAACAACTGATGAAGGTCAATTGTAAGGAAACAATTGAAGTATAATTGCGAGACTGATGTAAGAGGTCTCGATGATAGGGATTTCACTGGGGTATTCAAGTTTCTGAGAATATCTACAGTTCTGCGGAGATATTAATGATAGGACGGATATGAATTTTTAATGGACTGTGCCACTATTATTGCGTTTCGATAAAATGTCAGTTAACCAAAAAAAATCAGTTAAAGCAGTATTCTCATTCGACGACCCATACAATTTCCATCAATTGTGCTGATCAAAATTTATAAGTCTCCCGAATGATGAGAACAAAATCCACGAAATCGACAGCCTTCATTAAAAACATGCGGAACTCTCCTGCGAATGAATTTTCTGTTAGTTTTTTTCCAACTTTACTGATGGCAGAAATTTCTTCTGAACGAGTCGGCAATCAAAAATCTGAAATCATACTTCAGCCTTTTGTTGGGATTGATTTGCTGCATGCGATATTTTTGGAGGACGAAAAAGTAGAAATTAACGATGTGAACTTAAATATCACGTATGAAGGCACTGATAACATGCACTTATGACTGTTGACAGAAAAACACATGAAGCAGTAGATTCAATGCTGATAAAATGGATGCTTTAATCAGTGCGATGATAAGGGAATACGAATCGATGATTGCGATTCACCGATGAAAGTACATCGAAAGTGAACTCAAATTAGTACGGACATCGTGCACTGTTGGTGATCGTACGTGGTTGAGTTTTGGTGCTTCCGACATTTTCATATATTTTCTGAATAGTGAATCGGAGTAGTCAGTTAGTCAGCTTGATAGTTATCCGATCGGTTACAAATCTCAAAGATGGAGCAGAGGCGCTCATCACTGCTCATCAGCTCGTGCTTGTGCTTAACACTGCTCGCCATTACAGTAGCTGGACAGTGTAAGTTATTGCATTGTTACCTATCACTAATTCAGGGTTTCTCAACCGGGAGTATTCGCACTTTCAAGGGATGCGAGGTGGTATCCAGAGGGGGGGGAGGGGGCGAGACAAGATTTTATTTTTTATACATTGAAGTAGGCGGGGGCGGATTATAACGCATTTCAACGTATAATCAAAGCGAGAGTGGACTCTAACGTATGTGTTTTTGAAAGGGTTAGAACCTACTCTAATAGTGTACACTCATCTACGTTCTAAGTATTGGATGAGACATAGAGACTGGATATTGTGAGAAGTGTGAAGACATTTTAACTGTTTTTGTAAGGGGTGCAGGGAGGAAAAAAGGTTCAGACCACTGCGCTAATTTATTATCACTTTTTCAATTGTTATCGATTTACTCATCGATTTAGTGTCTCCAAAATTAAGAAAATGCAGAATATGGCACATATCCTAGTGGCTCTTCATTATACTCATATGAAGAATATTCATATGGCTTTTCATTATTTCATATTCAAAAGTGACAAGTTTTCAGTGTCAACTCCAGCACCAACCGTGTTCCAAAACACCATTGCTCCAATCAGTCCAGATGATCCAAGAGCAAAAGCGTTCGCAGAAGCATCCGATCTGCTCAAGTCGATGATAAACATATCCGCTGATCCATGTAATGATTTCTATTCGTTCACCTGTGGTTCGTTCCACGGTGCAAAAAGTTTCGCCAGACTCACCAAAGTGAATTATGAAGTGATGGCCAATAAGATTGAAGATCCAGCTTACCGTAGCTCAGAGGTGAATTTGTTCGTTCCGTTTGATCATTTCTCATTGAATGACAAAAGCATGTCTACCATCTTAACACATTCAGTTCAAGTTCTGAACTAATGCAGAGCGGTGAAGCATAAGGCAGATTTTGTGGTCTCATTCAAAATTATGTCTTTGCATAAAAACGAAACGCTTCATGGTTTTACGAACGAAGAATCAACTTTTTAAATTGAACTTGCTAAAATCGTTGAACTTTGATGATGGAATTTTCAAGCTCTGAATTTGCGTTTTTGGTGTCTTTAGTTGAAACCGTTTGACACTGTGAAAGTTTCACACGCCGTTTGTTGAATGGTTCAGGAATATTTAAGCCTTTCATAGGACTTTCGCCATTTCTAAACAACGTTGCCTTTATCAAACTGCTATACAACACCACCACTACTAGCGAATGTGATAATATTCCGCAGCAAAAATACACTCTTTTTTGCGATAGATGTGCATAAGATTGCACAAAACGATAACGTTAGCAACTCATCAAGCAACTGATAAAAGCAGATGAAGTAGTGATTGCAACTTGCACTACATCATTCGAAGGAACTGCATACAGTACCTAGTCCTTTGATGAAGCATTCACTTAGAATGGGTCAATGCAAGAACATTCCAACGATGATAAATTAAAATATTTATGGCTGTTCCTATTCAAAACCATTCATTGCTAACAAAACCATAGTCAAAGCTATCTCACAATCAGAACGAATTCAGAAACAAACGATAAATTAGGACAACAAGTTGGAAAGAGACTGAAAAAGAGTAATGTGCATTATGAATACAACAGAATACGCAAAAGGTTGAAAATACTGGTTAACAATTTAAGTACCGTATTTAACGATCTATAAGGCGCACTTAAAAGTCTTAAATTTTCTCAAAAAACGACGGTGCGCCTTATAACTCGGAACGCCTTGTATGTACTGATTAATTCTGGTTACTGACCTCAGAGCGATTTTGTGTGACACGCGGCGCTGCGATAAGGTTTATAAGTGCATTATGGCGAAAGGTTTATTCCTTTAATGCGCCTTATATAAGAAATAAGTTGGGAAATAGACTATTCATTGACAGTGCGTCTTATAACCCGGTGCGCCTTATAGGTCGTTAAGTACGGTACGTGAATAGCGGTGAGAATATTACCAACAATTACGGTTACATGGCACATGTATGCAGAAATGAACAAGAAAAAGAAGCCATTCATTGGAATAACATCAGCAATCCATAAGTAACATGGGAATGATTTCAAAACATGACAAATAAAACTACAACAATAGGACTGAATGCAAGATTGTCAAAATTTCAGTTACCAAAGCCAATGAAACAACTTTTCGACTATTACGATACGTGCAAGAAGGCATTCAATGACTGGAGTGCAATAACAGCCGATGCTGCGTTTGTGAAAACAAAGCTGTCAGATCTGCACACCAAAACTGGCATTACGTTCCCTGCAATCGATCAAACTACTGCAGATACTCAAATGCCAGATAAAACAAGAATGGGTAAAATTATCGGTTACATGGATGGTGTTCTTCGTACCCCAACACTTATCAGCTCTTATGTGGACACGAACTGGAGAGATCCACACAGCCCCGAAGGATATTTACTACAAATTGATCAATCGTCATTATATTTTCCACTTTCATATTATGTAAAAACATGGGATTCAATCAAAGTTAAATACGGGGAGCGAATAGTCGAATGGCTAAATCAATTAAAACCAGGACTGGATCAAAATAAACTGAAAAAAGATGTTGACGACATGCTTCAGCTCGAACTGACCATTGCGCACGAGTTAATGGTCGATGACACAACCCGTCGGACGTATGCACGATCTTACAATGTGTTTGCGACAAAAGACGCACAAACACAATTCCAGTTGATTGATTGGCCTACGTATTTCACTCAGCTATCCACTTACGCTGACCAAGATGTCCAGAATATGATGAGAAAACCTCTGTTCAATTTCAATGTTCTCGAGCCCGCGATGCTCAACAAAGTTGCGAAGTACATCCAAGATGGAAAGATCAAAGCGCGAACATTGATCAATTACTTCAATTTCCGTGTTGTTGGTACATTCAGCGGGTACCTGCCATCAGCAAGTAAGACCGAGGATGAATTCGGTTATAGGTCTCCATTAGATCCAGTCATGAAACTAAGACAAAAAAAGCTTACACCAATCGTTCGGGATACCCCTATCGCGCAAATCACTTTTGACATTCGCGAACAGTGTGCCGGTAAAACGGTATGGGATCTGCAGTACGCTAACGCACGTGTTTACATCGATGCAAAATACCCAACGCCAGAAGACCGGGTATGTGCATTGCAATATTGATCTTGAGACTTGGAATCAGGAGAAATCAATCCATTTTGGATTTGTTCGTTGCGGAAATAGCTCACTAGTATGACCAATTTCAGACTCAAATTCGGCATAAGTTTGCAAACTTAATGGAGACAGTACTAATCGGTTTCCGCAGTATGGTCGATCAATTAAGTTGGATGTCGGTATATTCGAAGCGAGGCGCATACGGCAAAATCGACGATCTCGTCAAGAACGTCGCATATCCTGACTTCATCGTCAACGACCAAGAACTAACCAATTATTACAGTGCATTGACAATTTCGGCATCTGATAGCTATACGCAGATGGACGATAAAATTTTTGAATTCAACCAGTATAAATCGTTTAAATCACTACAATTCAATGGTACTCAACGAACCGACTTCCTTCAGGGTCCTGGTCTTGTGAATGCATGGTATCAGGTGAATGGATGCTTTTGAGATTTTATTTCGTTAAGTGAACCAAGGATTTAGGTGATTCAGCGCTTCATTTAAGCTTAATGCATCGAACTTAAAAAGGGATGAGGTGTTAAAGTGAAGGATACACATTACGGCTGTTTTATAATCAGATTTATCTCATACACATCTCTGTTGTTCCTGATAAGCCTAAACCAAAAGACGTTTCTACCTCGTGCTGAACTTTCCACCATTCGATTTTCACATTCTCGTATCCAGAATACCATTCACTAAACACCTTCACTAAGCACTGGTGCTCATTCAACATTTACCCATTTAGATATCGTTTGCCACAACATATCATGAACGATTTCATTGATTACAAAACGCATGAGTNAATACATCCTCAAGACAGAGTCAACGATGCACTTAATTTAAATTAGACGTTTCGCTAGGGATACCCTCTGTGAAACTTGTCTTTACAGAAAATGGCAGACTGCGTTGTGACTGAATACGGAAACTTTTGTCCACTACCAAACGACTATCACCCACGTTGTCTTGATGGCCACAATACTCAAGGAGAGAATATCGCTGATAATGGAGGTTCATTCTGCGGCTTTTTCTTGTCATAGCAGTTCCCACTCCGTTGCTTGAAACTGACCGATCGTCTCAAATCATCCAGAGGCTTTTGGAATACATTGCATCTCATTCTACGAAATGAATGAAACTGTTCGTGAATGTAATGCTGCACATCCAAAGTGACGTTGAAAATCGACTGAATCGATCCTCGTCGAAATATAGGATCAATAATATTATTTTGATAAATTCGGAATGGTATCTTTCAGTGGTGTACTCATGATGTTTTCGAGGGGGAGGGCACAAAATGGTCTGATCTAGTGTTTGGAATCTGCACTCCTCGATGCAACCAAAACAGCAATGAATAATCGGCATAATTTACAATCTATTTGTTATTCTTAAGAAACGTTGACATGTGTGTGTCGTAAACGGTGTACCCAAGCTCCAGAGCTAGAAAAAATTTTGGCTCCTTCACAAAAGACCGCAATAACATTCAGTAACCAGAGCTGAGACCTTTATGATAAGTCTACTGCGAATGTGGATTGCTCCGGAGCTGCAGTGGAGCCAAGTTGATCTGGAGCTGGAGCCAGAATCGCAGCTTTGAAGAATGCCTAGCCGGGGCCGCAGTTGGAGCTGGAAGCAAAATTACAGAATTGCGGGGCCATAGCTGCACCAATTTTATTTCGAATTCAGGCATCTCTAGTTATAATTCTCTATCGTGATTATGATAGTGATGAAAAAAAGAGCAATGCAAGTAATGTATCAATAACAATGAAAGTAATCAGTTTGCAAACCAGCAGTGAGCATTTCCCTTCCTGTTTTCCCTCTCCTTTTCCCTTTTCTTCCATCCTTCAAGAGGGTATGCGCTCCTTGCACTACTGTTTATGCCACTGATACCACTGAATGTATCTCTTGATTTATTTTTACTGCAAACCATAATTTATAAAAATAACATTTCAGGTATTCACGCAGCATATCGTGCCTACAAAAACTACCAAAATTTGAATGGGCCAGATCCGCTTTTCGACGATCCCTTAATGCGTCAATTATCGCACGATCAACTCTTCTTCATGGGCTTCGCACAAGTGTGGTGTCAAGAGCCACCATCGGACGAAGCAATCAAAAGGCAAATTCTCATCGATCCGCATAGTCCATCGTTGTATCGCGTTTTTGGTACAATTCAAAACTTCCCTGCCTTCCGAAGCGCTTTCAACTGTCCACTCAATAGCAAGTATGCACCAGAGAAACATTGTGACGTTTGGGTAAACCCCATTAAAGGAAGTAAGTGACTGAAGCTGTTCGATTCTTAGAAAATATCAAAAAAAGTGTCTTTCGTGTGGTGGACGCATGGTGATTCGCTGTGATGCCGGATGCTTCATGATAGCATTGCCTAATGATAACTATGCGATAGTTCAAAATTATTCCCTTGAACTGCACCCCAAAATTCACTTCATACAAAAGACTAAAGGTTTCTCATCAATTAATTTCTCATCAGAGTAATTAATTTTGCAGGCATGGGTATCCCAGATACAGCGAAAGCTGACGATATACTGAATATTCCGAAAACGAAGCAAATACAACCAGATCAAGTCGACAAATTCAACGCTTATATGGGTGCTGTGAACTTCTTCCAAGAATCGATGAACATCAGTGCTGACCCATGCAATAACTTTTACGAATATGTTTGTGGTAGTTATAAAAAGGGATTGAGTTTTCGATACGGTGATATGCAGAATTTCAATACATTGGGATCATTAATGGAATCACCGAAATATGAAAAGTTTTCGGTAAGTTTTCGCTTAGGATACGCATTTAATCGCTTGACATTTCAGGTTCATCCACTAACTGGAGTTTGAGTTTTTGTTAAAGATGAAAATTGTTCCAATTTCTGATTTTCTTCCGAATCCTTGATTGTTCACAGTTTTGGGTCGATGCTCAGCACAACGATTACCTCTCGTGGTAATCGATCCTCTTTCAGAATCCTATGTCTGCAGTGGATAAAACTGTTGCGTTCTACAAGAAGTGCAAAAAGACACGTTCTGATTTCAACGCGTACATTAGTGATGGAAAAATAATAAAATCCATAATTGACGACTTCCAACGAGCAAGCGGATTGCAATTCTCAATGATAACCTCTCAAAGCCATCAGGGATCACAACAATTAGATCCATCCGTACTCGGTAAAGCAGTTGGTTTCTTGAGTTCAGAAGGGGTTCATACACTCCTCACGCCACTGGTTGATACGGATTGGAAGACCGCCAAAACATTCACATTGTTCATCGATCAAAATACTCTGTATTATGCGAAGACCTACTACACGGAAGTTGCATGGCCCACGACGATCAAAACTTACAAGGACGATGTGATCGCTTTGTTGACCGATTATGCCAAACTTATCAAGGTAATATAGTCACATACATCGTTTGATATGAATCACCAAAAATTTGAATCAACAATGTTCGCTCAGGCAACGCCATTTATGTTTGCTGCAAAATAGCAAAATTGGATAGATTATTTGGAAGTGAAATTTTCCTCTTCACTCCGCTTCGCATTTGAATTAAACAAAGAATTATTAAGGCGACGATCGATCCGAGTAAACTGAGCGAAGACGTTGATAAACTTCTAGAGCTTGAAGTGCAACTCGCACGGAAATATAGCACTGATGATACAACTCGTCGACAATATGCACGCTCGTGGAATTTAGAAACTGTAAATAAGGCAAACAGTGACTATCCATTCATCAACTTCGATGATTATTTTGCTGCATTAGCATCAAAATACCCCGACCTTGCTACATTCTTCAAACAGCCCGATTTCAAGTTCTCAGCAATGGAACCTGAAAAGTTCAAACTATTGAGTGATCAATTTAGTGATCAATTTGATCCTAATGTTGTGGTCAACTATTTGTTCTATAGACTTCTAGCTGCAAATAGGGAATTTTTGCCGAGAAGTGCGAGTCACTTGACACGAACGATTGAAGAAGAAGATGAAATGTTGAGTGGATTTGGTCGCAGACCACGAAAATTCGGCAGAAAGTTCGAGTTGAGAACGGCGGCACGATACAAGGACGTACAAACGCAGTGTGCTTATGAGGCGGTTTATGCGATGCAGTATTCGACTGGAAGAATTTTCGTCGATTACCTTTACCCGGATAGAGCCGCAGTGAAACGCATCAACGAGTTAGTCTTTTTATTCATGAGAACATCAACGATCGGTATCACAGATAATATCTTTTATTGAGGTGAAATCAATCAATTCAACTGACGAATGATATTTTAATGAATCGTGGAACGAAGTAATAATTACGAATGCGTTCAGGTCAGCGAACGCAATAATGCACAACATCCTCAAGTCATTCCAAGGAATGTTAGATCGTCTGAAGTGGATGGATGAAAAGTCAAAGAAAGTCGCATATGAAAAGATAACAGAAATCGCGGTGAATGTCGTTTTTCCACCGTTTATTGCTGACAACATTAAATTGAATGATTATTACGAAACGCTTACAATCGACCCTGCTTCTGACTATATCGATATGAAGAAAGCGTTGAATCTGTTCAACTTCATTGAAACCTACAAAGTTATCGTGGATAACACCGCAGTGGATCGTCATCAATTCTTCCTACCACCGGCTGTCATTAACGCTTGGTATCAGGTAACCTAACCCTTTAATTGCCTCAAATTACAGCTATTATCGCTCACACTGAAAAGATTATATTGATTCCATTGACTGAGGCGCAATCATGTCTTTTTTGAAAATTTGAAAATTTTAGAAAGATTATCTCAATTCTATTCAGCAATCAATAAAAGATAGAATCATACATTTGTTTTATAAACTAACGAATATGAGTTCGAAAGGTGTCAACGAGATTTCAGCCCGAAATGAATTCAATAACGTTCCCGGCTGCTATTCTACGACAACCATTTTATGACGAAAATTGGCCAGCATCATTGAATTACGGTGGATTTGGATTAGTATCAGGCCATGAGCTGACACACGGCTTTGATGATCAAGGTGTACAGTGGAATGGAATTGGTCAACTTGAGGATTGGCTGACGCCTGAGTCGGCGAGAGGATTTAAAGCGATGGCAGACTGTGTTATAAAAGAATATGACGGATTTTGTCCACTAAAAGGCACTGGTAAAGAACCAGAGTGTGTTAATGGCGAGCAAACGCAAGGTGAAAACATCGCGGACAATGGAGGTTGGTAATATGCAGTTACGAGTCATTACTTGCGTAATGTTGTGTTTTTATCGCTGATTGATCGTTCAGGTATTCATGCTGCGTGGCGTGGTTACAAGGACCATGTGGCGTTGAATGGTCCCGATCCGCAACTACCGGATCCACTGTTGAGCAAGCTCACTCACGATCAGCTCTTCTTCATGAGTTTCGGGGCTGTTTGGTGTGAGATTCCACGAGATACCGAAGCACTTTACAAACAAATTATGACAGATCCGCACAGTCCATCGAAGTATCGTGTCTGGGGTACAATCGAGAACTTCCCAGCTTTCCGCGAGGCTTTTAACTGTCCAGTTGGTACCAAATATACACCTGCAAAGCACTGCTCTGTTTGGGTACCAAAGCCGGCACCTCTACTTTGAAAAGACTTTATCAGTGTTTATGCGACTTTATTCCACATTCTGTTATGATTTTGAGCATTGAATTTTTGACCTTTGAGTTCAACAAAAATTAGTTTCGAACTGAATCGGAAGATGTCATTTCACAAAGCAAAAATCCACGATAAGCCCGACAATCATAACATTACGATGAATTTTTTTTT